AGACACAAGACTTCAGGAACAATGTCCTTTGGACAGAGGAGACCACAGTGGACATGTGTGCTCATAGAGTGCCATGCTTGGTGAAACCCAAACACAGCATATCAGTACAAACACCTCATACTAGCTGTCAAGGCCAGTGTTGGAGGGGTGTGAGGATTTGGTTAAAGTAAGGAATCACGGTGTTGCAGTGACACAGTTAAGGTCCAGACCTGAACCTGACTGAAATCCTGTGACCTTAAGAGAGCTGTGCGTAAATGAACGCCCACAGGCCCCAAAACTGAAGCAACACTGTAAAGAACAGAGGCCCAAAACTCCTCCAGCATTGTGAAAGACTGAGAAACTTATGCAGAAAACATGTCGTGCCAAATTAGAACTCAGCAAAAGTTATTAGAGTTCTACATGTTATTGTCTTACTGTAGAAGAAAAAGCAGTATGTGTCCCAGTGTGAGCTGCCAGTGAGGTAGCACTTACAATACAAAGAGCCAGTGATTCATTTCATTGTTCACACCTGGGCTTTACTTGGAAAAGTTTTAAATGGCCGCTGATTGACTGAAACATTGTGCATGCATGGAGAGATGCCAGGATTCTTGAGCATTTATAAAAATGTGTTCTTTCCGTAATCACGAATGTTTCCTGTGAACTGTGACGAGGACTACCACATACATCCTTCTTGCAAAACTGTTTTTGCCCAACAGATCCTTACAGTGTAATGAGTACGTTCTGTGTGCAGTCCCGATGTACTGTAACATTGGTGTTTTGAATATATACAACATGAATTCATGCGTTGTGTACTACTGCATGAGATTAAAGGCTAAAACTGTAGCTGTATATTGCCTTGTCACAAATGAAACCAGTTCCCCTTTTCTATATCTGGACACCAATAAAATATGGCGCAGACTATATTTAAAAGAAACAAAATGATATCCTGCTGCATGAAAGTGAAAATAGATTTTAACTTCTCCCTATCACATAACAAGCCAAGGTGAAAGTGATGCCACTGTGTGACAATAAAATAACATAAAAAAACCCCGAACAGAGGCAACATGATCATTTCAAGGAACAAAAATCACTGTCGGGTATCCTGGTCAATGGCCAATTCCCATTTCCTTATTCATGAAGAAGCGTCTAATGTCCATGTGTCAGCCGGGTTTTCCCCTCCGTCTAATGCAGCTGAACAGAAGACGATCACTTCCTCTTTATGAGTTACTACCACATCCAGGTGATGACTCACAAAACCTGTTCTGTGGGATTTCGTGTCGATATGATTAACAGAAGTCAAATCTTGGGCTTCCTTGTAAAATTTTATGATTATGTCTTTGTGGGAAAAAAACAAAAAACTTGCTGAAAAGTCAGAAAAGTGTGAAAATGTCACACATGGGAGGGCATTTGAATTTAACCCCGTGACTCACAGTAGATGTGATACGATGGTAAAAAAAGACCACGCGATTAATCATGTGAGCTCAAAACCTTGTATTACAAAAAAGACAAAAATACATGCACATGCACAACCACAAACACTCCTTTTTAAGTGTGCAGCACAAAAAACCTCCAAAATGTGCAGTTTGTAGAAAAATGACTTTTTACATGACTCTATCAAAGAAGGCCAAATATAGAAATGATGATGGTTTGAAATCACTGAGCTTGTGCACCTCTCGTTTTTTCTTTGCTTTGATATTTCATGACCTTGACCGTCCCCTGCAGATGCCCCCTCCATCACAATGCCTGTCCCCTTCCTCCCCCATCTCTGCTGTCTTTCTCTCTTCGTCTCCTCCAGCTTCTGTCCTGAGTGCGTGACAGCGCGGCTAGCTCGAGCTGCATCAGTGCAACGCTCGCAGCATTTGCATCTGAAACCAGAAAGACCCCCACCCCCTCGCCAGCACGAAGAGGCGTGGGGCTGATTTCTGGAGTGCAGGGGGATCTCCGCTGTCGATGAAAATACTTTTTCAGAAAGCCACAGCCTGGTTAATGTTTTCCAAGCTCAAAAGTTTAGATATTAAGCAACGAGGGGAACGGCGTGATTAAGCCCTTCTCTGAAAACCTTGAAGATGTTGGTGTAAGATGAAATGTCGGCACTTCTTGACTCACTTTGTATGAAACATTTTCTTTCCATGACAATGAACATTCTTAAATGTGTATTTGAAAAACTTTCCCTGAAATCACTTTTTTTCCCTCAATTTTTTCATATTGCGAGAAACCCTAAAGACATAAAGCAGGCAAAAAAAATCATTTTACAAACCAAAACACAGCACTGAGGTTCTAAGAACCCCAACGCCCTGAGCAGCTTCTGGGAACGGCTTATCTAAAGTGCACTAAAGTGCTGAGTGATGCAAAGATGATATAAGTCTGCTGAACGTGTGTGTGTGTGAAACAGAGAGATAATGCTTTGTGTTACTTCCTTCTTCTATATGCATATTCTTTAGAATTTGCATGTTGTTCTTTGTAAATTATTGAGTGATTTGTCATGTTGCAAATGCTTAAATGGTTGCAACAGCAGCCTCAAGGTGTG